TTAATTGGCCGGACCGCGAGGCGGGTCCTTTATAAAACACCACGGTCCTACGGTTGAGGCATGCCACGCTTATGGGATGAATGGCAGGTGCGTGACCTGTCGCTAATGGTTCCTCACTCTGGGCACCTGGCGAACCCAGGCGACCAGCTAGCCTTACCCCGGGTAATGCGGGGGCTCTACCCAGGGTCGACGTCCACTTCCTGCCGCACTCGTGGGAACAGTATGCAGATTTCCATTTTTAAAAAAACAAAACACTCCGAGCTTTCGGGCTCAAAGTCCCGTATGGACGGGTGTAGCAACCCGTCCGAGGACTCACCACTCTCCTCGAAGAGTGATTTTTATGAGGAAGGAAAGGGGGGTTCAGAGGTAGTAGGAAATCTACCGGCAAGTGCCACCTCCCCGCCCCCTGAGGAGGAAGAGCTGGCTGGCCCCAGTGGAATAGCCGCTGGGGTACAGCCAATAAGTGAGGGTCGACCACCGCTCTCGGGGAGGCGCCCCTCCGACCGCGGAGGTGGCGCGGTGAGCTCGCCGGGCAGGTCTATGCGAGCGGCCACCCAACGCGGGACCTGTAAATCACTGGGGTCTAGGGGTCCCAGTCTGTCACTGGCGACCACCAAACCCGGTCCCCTCTGCTCTAAGAGGGGAAAGGATGTATCCCTCCCATCCCTCCATGAGAACAAGGAGGAGGAACAGCAGCAGCAGAAGAGGAGTCGAGAGGTGGGGACCTCGAGACTTGCGAGGGCTGGAGGGGCGTCGGAGCGGACCACCGCCTGACCGGTGGTCCTCTCCGACGTCCTGCTCTCGCAGGGATCGAGAATCCCCATATCCCGACTGAGGGAAGGACAGAGGAAGAGGGCCAGGGAGCTGGTGAGCTCCAACGGCAGCAGCAGCAGCGGCTCATGCACCATCACCGCCGGCCCAGCGCTTGAGCAGGTAAAGAGGAGACGCGGTAGGCCCGTAGTTACTGGCAAAGGCGTAGGGATTAGGGAGAGGAAGAAGGCGGAAAAAGAGGAGAAGAAAGAGGCGGAGAGTGCCAGACTAGAAAAGGAGTTACAGGCCATTCTAGATGCTGGCATATTCCGATCCCTGGGAGATAGGAGGCCGATAGAAGAGGTCTTCCGAGACAACGCCGCGAAAGGGCTAATGAGAGAAGCTAAGGTGAGTGAGCTGGTCTCGGAGGTAGGTCGCGCCCTGGGCACGATTCGGCTGGTCTCACGAAGGTCTAGAACTCTGAAGGGGACCTTCGTGGGAGCACTGAATCGTGCCGTAGAGATCTCCGAGGCTGTGCTCACCACCCTAATGGCCAGGGTGGCCAGCAGGGAAAAGGAAGGGGACATCACCCTGGCCGAAAAAGAGGCAGAAGAACTCCGCACGGAGCTGAGAAAGTTAAGGGTGGAAAATAGGCGGCTAGCGGAGGAGCTGGAATGGACGAAGCGACAAGTCGCTTCGTCGATTCCCATGGCTCCTCCGGCGGTTGCCTCTTCTCCACCAGCTTCGTCAGTAGGCCGCAGGAGACCGACCTATGCGGAGGTGACGGGAGGATCGTCGTCGGTTGCGACGAGCGAGGAAGGGGAAAGGAATAGGGAGGAGAGGGAGAGGAGAATGAAGAAGGTAAGGAAGAAGAGGAGGAGGATAGCCTCTTCTTCCACTCCCACCTCCATCAGGGCAGCGGGAAAGGAAGGGGGAGGGTCGGACATCACATCATTGGATGATAACATGGAGGAGTTGAACGACTCCCCCCACAAACGAAAAGATCAAAGTAGCGGAGAAGGAGCTGGACGCCGACATGGAGGCCCAGTTCCTGGACTGTGGCTGCAGGGCGGAGGTTGACCGGCTCAAAGCCGTAGTCGACCGCCTTGCAGCTGCCGGTCCGGGAGGCGGGGCAGCTATGGCGGTGGGGGCTTCGGCACCCACCCTCCCCGTAGGACCAGGGAAGGAAAAGAAAGGAAAGGCCTCTCCCAAGGAAGAACGGACAGTCCCCGAGGTACCTAAAGGACAGGGAAAAAGGAGAGGAAGAAGGAGAGCAAAAAGAGGAAGAAGGCCAGAGTCAAATTAATGAAAGAAGAAGAGGAACAGAGGACCCGGGAAGGAGGAAGGGGCATTGCTGCCAAGGACCTCCTGGAGGCAGGATGGGATCCGACACAGAAGGCTCTACTGAAGGCGCTTCTGCCTAGCCAGGGACCAAAGGAGACATGGTCCCAGGTGGTTGGGCGGAAGGAGCTGCAGAGGAGGAAGAAGGAGGAGATGAGGACGAACGGGCCGGCCGGCCCGGTGGCACCCGCTCCAAAGGCCAAACTTGGAGGAAAGGGGGCAGAAGCAGCGGGACGGGGCAGGCCCAAACCGCCACGTTCGGCGGCCGTCACGGTGATATGTCCCGAGGGTGAATATCACAGATTCATGGTGGAGGCCAGGCGCCGCATCATCCCGGCGGACCTGGGGATAGGAACATCCCTGAAGGTCCGCCGGGCCCTGAACGGGGCTCTGTTGATTGAGGTGCCTGGCCTTAACGTCGGGGCATCCGCCGACCGGCTTGCGGAGCTCCTCCGCAATGGGCCCCGGTTTTCGCATCCAGAGACCGGTGAAGGTCGCAGCACTGCGACTAGCCGGCCTGGTTGCGACAACCGGGGCCGATGAGGTGACGGCCGCCGTGGCCCGCGCTGGGGGATGTTCGTCCGGGGAAATATCCCCGGGAGTGATGAACATCACCCAGCGAGGAACGGGCGCGATTGTGGTGCGGTGTCCGCTGGCGGTGGCCACGAAAGTCACCGCCGCTGAACGGGTCCACGTTGGGTGGACCCGGGCCGGGGTGACGGCGCTGCCCGCTCGCGCAGTGTTGTGCTTCCGGTGCTTGCAACCGGGGCACGTGCGCGAGCGGTGTACCAGCACCGTCGACCGCAGCGACCTATGTTATCGCTGCGGTACCCCCGGCCACCGCGCCGGGGGATGTCAGCGGGCGGTGAACTGCCCCGTCTGTGCGGAGACGGGCAGGCCCTCCGGTCATAAGATCGGAGGGCCGGCCTGTGCCCCCCCCCCCAGGAAGGAAGAAGAAGAAGAAGAGAGGAAAGAAAGAGCGAGGACCGGAAGGAGCAGGAGGTGCACAGGCGACGGGAGCCCGAGACGTCGCCGGGATACCAGCCCGACCTATACCGGAGCAGCCAAGGGAGAGGAGCGAGTCCCCTCCCCCAAAGAGGAACCCTGAAGGGAGAACGAGCGGTGGTGAAACACCGGCTCTCGCCCCAGCGGGAACCACGAAGGACCAACCGCTCATCCAATTCGACTGAGAGCCGGAGACGACATCGGGCCTGGAAGGATGGAGGGAGGAGCCACCAGCAGCAGCTGGGAGGAAAAAGAAGGGGAGAGAGGACCCGGACCCGGAAACTGGAACTGGACCTTTTGACTGGAGACGTGCAACATGAAGGACCAGTCACAGAGGAGGGACAAAGTTCCAAGGTGAGGAGGATGGAGCCTACGGGCCCACCCCCAACGACCGTAGAAGGAGGGGAGATGGAGGGAAAGCCACCCCCATCTCCCCATTCAGCCGATTCCTCCTCATACTCCCGAGAGGAAGGAGTCGCAGAGGTAGGGACCCCGTCACTCCGCGGAGGTACTTGCAGAAGGGGCCACCACGGCCGAAGTCCCCCCGGGGAATCCAAGACGGCTCAGCCGTCGGAGGATGACCAGGGGGGGACTGAAGTAGGCAGCCTGGAGGAGGCGTGCAAGGTTTAGCCTTCACGCCACTCCGGGCCCTACAGGCCAACGTCGGCCGCGGCGCCCAGGCTCAGGACCTCTGTATACGGAAGATGACTGAGCTGGGCGCCGGGCTGGCGGTGGTCACCGAGCCGACCTGGATCCCGGTTCGCAGCGCGAACTGGTTCGGCGGTCCGGACGGCTCGGTGGCCTTAATGGCAAACCCTGCGACGGGGGCCCCACCCTGTACATTCAGGGAATCGGGGCTCTCGTACGTGGCAGTCGATTGGGGGCCCGTTACTGTGGTGGGGATATATCTTCCTCACCGCAGAAACAGGGCCGGTCTCGGTCGTCCTGCCTCGATTAAGGCGGTCCTGGACAGGGTCGAGGAGTTGATGCGAAGGTGCCATCCCCGACCAGTCATAGTTGCCGGGGACTTCAATGTCCACTCGGAAGGGTGGGGCTGTAGTCCCCGGCAGCGGGACCGCCGGGGGGACACCGTGATCGGCTGGGCGGCGGGACTGGGCCTCGTTCTGATGAACGAGGGCTCAGAGAGCACCTGCGTGAGGCCGGGGGAGGGCGGAGCCTCGGTCATTGACTTGACCTGGGCGACCCCCTCGGCCGCCGGGTTCTTCCACGAGTGGAAGGTGGAGGCGGAGGGGGAAACACTGCCTGATCACAGACATATAGTGTGGGCCCTCCGCCTGCCCAAACCCGAGCAGGTGCTCATCCGCCGCTCAGGGGAGAGGGAGCTCCCTCTCCCCAAGAGATGGGCCTTCAATCGGCTAGATGCGGACAGGTTTCGGGCGGCTGTCCTTGTGGCATCCTGGCACCTGGGAGGGGTGCCAGGAGGGCGGGACCCCGACCCCTGTAAAGGGGCCGGGCAAATAGTGGGCATTGTGACGTCGTGCTGCGACGTCGCGATGCCCCGATCCCGCCCCCATCACCGCCGGGCCACGTATTGGTGGAGCGAGGAGCTACGGCGGCTCCGGTGCTCCGCCATAGCTGCCAGAAGGCAGCTGACACAGGCCCGGCGGGAAGACGGGGATGCCGCAAGGGCAAAAAGGGATTACCTCAATGCGAGGGAATTCCTAAAAATCGCCATCGCCGAGGCAAAGTGAGCGGCCTGGGAGCAACCAGTGAGCTCCCTGGACGACGATCCGTGGGGGCGTCCTTACAAAAGGGTGACTGGGAAGATTCGCCCTTGGGCGCCCCCACCGACCGAACAGTTGGACCACCAGGCCCTCAATGGGCTCTTGGACGCCCTCTTTCCGAGGGCAGAAGGGGGCCCACCCAGGATTCCTCCCCCAGAAATGGGGGAGGGAGACTGGCACGAGGGCCTGGAGGTCAGTCCGGAGGAGCTCGCTGAGGCCAGGAAGAGGCTCGGGGTCAAGGGCAAGACCCCTGGCCCCAACGGGATTCCTGGCCGCGCTTGGGCCCTCGCACTCGGCGAGGGAAACCTGTTCGCGGCCACCCGCAGGGTACTGAGCGGGTGCCTCAGGGAGGAGGTATTCCCCCCAAAGTGGAGGAGGGCCAAACTGCTCCTCCTCCCCAAGGAGGGCAAAGCACCCGGCAGTGCGTCGGCCTATAGACCGATATGCCTGCTGGACAAGGCGGGCAAGTTGCTTGAACGCATCATTGCCGACCGCCTCGTCCAGCACCTGTCCTCGGAGGGGCCGAACCTCCACGACCGCCAATATGGGTTCAGGCCCGGGAGATCAACGTTGGACGCAGTCCAGTGTCTCCGGGGCCTGACCCAGGCGGTCGTGGAGAGGGACGGCGGGGTGTTGCTGGCAGTATCCTTAGATATAAGGAACGCCTTCAACACCCTGCCGTGGCCGGAGATAGGACGGGCACTCGTGCATTACGGTGTGCCCGCTTATCTCCGGCGTATCCTCTCGGCCTACTTCGGGGGCACGGACCTCGCCTTCCCAGTGGAGGGCGGGGTCCAAGGCCGGCGCACAATGGAACGCGGTGTTCCGCAGGGATCCGTCTTGGGCTGTGGAACATCGCGTTCGACCGGGTGCTAACTCCGCTCCCCCCGGGCTGCCACGTCATCTGCTATGCGGATGACACATTAGTGGTGGCCGGGGGGGAGAGCTGGGGGGAAGCCCGCCTCCGAGCGGAGGCGGCACTGGTATCGGTGGTGGGCTCCATAAAGGACCTGGGCCTATCGGTGGCGCCCTAGAAGACCGAAGCTGTATACTTTTACGGCAGAGGTCGAGGGGCGCCTCCGGTGACTCAGGTCCTTGTGGATGGCGTCCACGTCCGCGTCGGGCCGACGATGAAGTATCTCGGCCTGACGCTGGACAGTCGCTGGAGTTTCGGGCCTCACTTTGGGAACCTGGCCCCCAGGGTGCGCAAGGCGGGCCTGGCGGTCGCCAGCCTCATGCGCGCCCAGGGGGGCCCAGGATGGATGACACGCCGCCTGTATGTCACGGCCGTGCTCTCGATCGCCCTATACGGGGCGCCCAGCCTCTTGGTCTGCCGAAGGGGAAAACGCTCCCTTTGGCAGGCCTTGAGGCCAGTATTAATCAGGACGATTCGAGGGTATCGGAACGTGTCATACATGGCGGCGACCACCCTGGCCGGCGTCCCTCCCGTGGAGCTCCTTGCCGAGGAGAGGTCGATCCTCTATTGGTGGGTGAAGGAGCTCCGCGGGGAGGGGGCTCTAACGGCCAGGGATTTAAAGGGCCTGAAGCTCCAGGCCAGGGACCGGACCCTTCGGAAGTGGAAGGACGAATTGTCCGACCCGAAGGTGTCCGGTCCCACAACGGCGGCGGCTGTCCGCCCCTGTCTGTCTGAAGTGACGGGCAGGAGGGGACGTGGAATGACATTCCACCTGGTGCAGATGCTGACCGGGCATGGCTGCTTCGGTCGGTATCTGCACCGGATACGAAAGGAGCCCACCACTCGATGCCACCACTGCCCCATCCTCGAGGACACGGCGCACCACACCCTGTCCGCATGCTCCGCATGGGACGGGGAGCGCCGGGTCCTCGAGGGGGCGGTGAGGTGCCGAAGGGGGGAACTCTCGCTCCCGCGCATGGTCATGGCCATGTGCGGGAGCGAGGAAGCGTGGGACGCAACGGCCTCCTTCTGCAGAGAGACCATCTCGCAGAAGGAGGCCGCGGAGTGGGGACGCCGACCAGGGGTGCGTCGCAATAGGCGACGCACTGGTCGGCGGTCCCCAGAAGGGGGAATCGGCAGCGGGCCCGAGATGGCGTCGGCCGAGGAGGACCTGCCTGTCCACAGGGACGGAACAGAGACTCCTCGGCCGCCTCGGGCCCGCCTCCGTCCGGACGGGGGGACTAGGTTTCCCTAGATCCCCCCCGTGCGGTCGGACAGGTAGGACAAGGGGGAGTGGTGTTGGGGCCGGGCCCACTCCCCCAAAACCCTCCTCCCTTGACTAGCAAGGAGGGGGGGTAAGGAGGAGGGGTGGATGTCCCCTTCCTCCTAATAGGTGATACCAGAAGGCCAACCGGTGGGGCAACCCACCTGGGACCGCGCCCTGGACTTCCTCTGTGGGACAAGGCGCGGTACGTTGATGGCGCGGGGCTCCCGGAGAGCCCTGGGGCCGCGGGGTTGGGGAGGGAATGCAGGAGCAGTTCCCCTAACTCCCCACCCAACGGCCCGACAGGTAGACATCCCGCAGAGGTTTTAGTCGGTAAGAGTCCGACATAACCCCCTCCCCCCCAAGGGGAGGGGGTATCCATGATGGATTTCCCCTGCCTTACCAAAAAAAAAAAGATTATGATGTCCAATGGATACCAAAATAATTAAATCAGGAATAAAATATTTTCAATCATAAATAAAATATTAGAAAAAAAATGTATAGAATTGCATTTAATTTATAATAATTTATTATTAAGTATATAGTATTGCTTTATAGAAATTAACTATCATTTTAGTATTAAATAAAAAAAATAAATTTTAATATTAAATAAAATTATTATCCATAGTATCAAGCTTCGCATAGTGATATGTGAATAAATATAAACGTACAGATACGTAAAAAATATATAATTTTAATAACATTTTTTTAATTTGATGGTAGAAATGCCGAATTATTCCAGAATTAATCTTAATCATTAATTACAATCACTTTTCCTCATATCCCCAAGAATGTTTTTTCGCACTCCCAGAGGGTGCAAGCATCCCCGGTTAAGAACCCCTGTTCTATACGTACATCGAGTTTCGTCAGAGCCATAGAGAAGGCTGCTTAGCCGTTCTGTGTAACAAAGTGTTCTCTGTTAAAACAAATATCGTCGTACAAAGCCGACTGCTTAATCCTAATCAAGAACGAGTTACATATTTAGGATCTACAGACAGTGGATCTATGGAACGGTGTACAGGACGCCACGAACTTCGGCGGCATCTCGCTGCAAATGAACCTACTTACACGTGAAATAATCGGCATCGAGGACTGCTTCTACCTGAACGTATATACCACGGACGTCGAGCCGGGAAAGAAGTGCGCCGTGATGATGTGGATGCAAAGCGGTGACTATACTTCTTGTTCCGGCAATAATTTACTATGCGGTCCCGATCACATCGTGCAAAAAGACGTCTTGCTGATCACGCTGAATTATAGGCTGAACATATTCGGTAAGTGATATAACTGACGTGCATGTGTGCATCTTTTTTCCTCTCCCTCTCTCTCTTTGGTGTATTTTTTCTGATTCCTATATAAGATAAATGACGAATGAAAACAATCATTTCTGAAAATCCTATTTGCTGTACTATGTGGAATATCTAAAGTTCTTTCAATTTCTCTTAAACTTATATGAGGGTTAATGGCAACTATTCCTAGAACATTGAGAACTCGAGGATCATCCTTATGAGCCGAATCTCTCCGTGGTTTTATTCTTCTGACAACAAGCCTACGCATTTTCATTTCCATTAAATATATTACAGAATGAGATGGATGATAGTTCCGTTCAGGAAAACTTTCCCGATATAAGCGAGAAGCTATCTAATAATGCCCGCGACATTCTCCAACAATAAAAAGAATGTCCACAATTTCATTTAATCAATAAGTTGGCATGTTAGTTTAATTCTAAATATTAAATGCTATGTTGCTAATCTGTTCCATTTACCGTTTATAAAGTTTATAACGTGATGTGACTTAGTGATGTTAGATCTGATGTTAGAATGAGAGTGATGTTAGAATGAGATGGCGTATCTCGCAGAGTCGCGTGGTGCTACCAACCAAATTGCTTTAAGAAAGTGGATTAACATAACCCTTCACTTGTTAATTTTCGCGTCTTATAACTCGGAAAGTACTTAATAAAAAAATACTTTATTATAGTATCATGAAAAAGTCTTAAAGTCAATTATAAGAATATGTTATAAGAATATGTGTGAAAAATAGGAAATTCCATTTTAAAAATGTAAGGTGACCTTAACCTCACCTTAAGAAGATCACTCAAGGCCAGATTCATATTTTCATCATGTAGCCCCCTTGAAACCATGCAACTTTTGTCTGAAATTTTTGTCTATCAGGCTGTTTTCCACATATTCGAATCGACTATTTAAAATGACTATTTAAAACTATTTAAAATGAGACACCCTCTATACCGAAAGTGTTACGTAAAGAGAATTCTGAAAGTTTGAAATTCAGAATTATAAAGTCGGAATTAATTTTAAATTGTACATCGGTTGGCTTTTACACACTTTAAGATTTCGGTAATGAAAAAAGCTGGAGAAAGCTGAAAATGAAAAGTCACTTTGTGGATACATTTTTTGTGTCCAGCGTATTTTTCTATCTTGAATGTCCACGTTCGTTTATCAGAAAAATCCAGGAAAATGTCTTGTTACTAAGTTCTACGTCGGATAAGTCAATCAGCCAATTTTGCGCAACTTTACTCGAGTTAGGTCAACTCTGCGAAACGAAACTATCTTTCTTTCCTGAACCTAGAAAACGTGACGTGGCCTGGGGCAATCAATAAAAGACACGATAATGGCGTTATTATGGCTTCGCGATGATGTATCGAGCTTTGCTGGAGATTCAGAAAGCATCATTATCTTCGGCAACAGCACTGGTGAAGCTACAGTTATATAGCATTTTTTTACCGTTGGCTGACGGTATATATGCCATAGATTTATCTATATGTATAAATACATACACACACACACATACATAGAACGTTAGTAAATGTGCTTTTAACTACAGGTTTATCAGGGCTGATTGTCCCTCAACGAAAATATCAAAGCGCTATCTGATGTTCCAACTAACTTGACTAGCTTTCCCATTTTTTCCCATTTCGCAACGTCATTAATGTTTCACACGTTTCGTGCTTTTTTATATTTTATATCTTTTTTCTTTTTTCCTTTTTGCTATTCATGCGTTATATTCTCAGAAAGCGTGTTCTATAAATGTCAATAAAAGCTCTTGCTTATCGACCTATCCACCTACTTGGCAAATACGAGAATTCCAGGTTCAACTCCTGATTAAAATAATCGCGAGAAACCGTAGCGCTTTGAGCTAAAAGAGTGCTCTTTTTTCTTCCTTGATATTTTTAACAGAATTGGAATTTTATTTGCAATAAGGATGAGATACGGGTATGGTTTTAGTAACTGATAAAAAATACTGAGTTGTCTAAAACCAGATTTTTCAGAAAAAATAAAATAATTATATTTTGATCCTGATTTTGATTGATTATATCCTTTAGTATTTTTTGTTGAAAAAGTGTACAAAGGATAACAAAAAATCGGAGCGATGTATAAAATGCTTTATAAAATCAAACGGTATAAAAATACAATCGTTTTATTTTAGCTTTACAGGTTGTTTATAATACAATGCATGTATACAAGGTTAAAAGATGGATCTGGTAGTAAAATCAGAGCAACAATTTACATTTAGGACATAAATGATATACCAATATTATTTACGCGCGAATAAATAGCACACACATCCCCCTTAGTCAAAAAGCATTTTTGAATTAATTTTATCCGAGATGAATCTTAATTTGCTACTATTTGAATTTTTATACGGGGTTCAGAGAAACACACGCAGTGTTAAAACTTGTAAAACAATAAAACACAAGAGAGAAGAATAAGAATAATAATTTAAGAATAATAATTTTCCTTGTTACTTCTCCGTTGGCGGAAAGTCAAAATTCCTAGTTGATAGAGAAATCTCATTAAGAGGGCATCCATGTAACGTATGTAACATAGCTTGTGTAACGAAGGAAGGAGTTGGGACCAAGGAAGAATTGTATTGGATTTAGCCTTATATTCCTCGAATGTTTCGAATACTCGTTATAAAAGTACGTTTTGCAGGTTTATATCACAAAATAATCATACAAAGCGGCTCATTGCCCATGGACTTTCAACCTGCCAGAACGTCAAAAAGCTTTGGAACTCGCTAGGAAACTCGGAAAACAGACCACAGACCTGCAGGAGGTGGGCAGGTTTCTCTAAACGGCCGACGCGAATGAAATCATAAACGTTTCCCAGGCACTCGTATCGCCCCTTGTAAGTATTTTAATAACATTTTGTCGTAATCGCTGTGCGATTGTGGTCGCGGAAAGGCACCCAATCAAAAAGGACTGCATATAGTTATATAAAATTGACGTCGTTGAAGTTTGGAGCGTTCTTGGAGCGAAAATTGAAAATAGCTTCTATTTAACAAAAAACCACTTAAAAATAAATATAAATACATATAAAAGATAAATTTGTGTTAAATATGACATGATATTATAAGAAAGTTGTAATTCCCGAAAATTACGCACATATAATCATTCATACAGATTATAATTATTTTCGGTACTCACAGCGCTCTGTGCCAAAAACTAACAATGCTTTCTCACTCTCTGGCATGTGGGAAAAAAGAAAAAAGATAGTTTAATAGCAATATTGTCCCGGAACACTTTCGTTCTCCACAAATATGATATGCATACCACCACACTCAGGCAGATTGTAATTATTTCCGGTAGTCACAACGCTCTGTGCCAAAAACTGACAACGCATTTTCATTCTCTGGCATGTGGGAAAATAGAAAAAAATTAGTTTAACAGCAATATCGTCCCGGAACACTTTCGTTCTACCCGAGAATTGTGTGCATACCACCACACTCAGACAGATTATAATTATTTCCGGCAGTCACAGCGCTCTATGCCAAAAACTGACAATGCATTCTCACTCTCTGGCATGTGGGAAAATAGAAAAAAATTAGTTTAACAGCAATATCGTCCCGGAACACTTTCGTTCTCCCCGAATATTGTGTGTATACCACCACACTCAGACAGATTGTCATTATTTCCGGCAGTCACAGTGTTCTGTGCCAAAAACTGACAATGCATTTTCATTCTCTGGCATGTGGGAAAATAGAAAAAAGTCAGTTTAATAGCAATTTCGTCCCGGAACATTTTCATTCTCGTCGTATTCCGGAACAAAAGAGTTCCGGGACGCGATTGCTGTTAAACAATTTTTGTTCTCTTTTCCCACATGCCATAGAATGAGAAAGCATTGTCAGTTTTTGGCACAGAGCGCTGTGAGTGCCGGAAATAATTACAATCTATCTGAGTGTGGTGGTATGCACACAATTCTCGGGGGAACGAAAGTGTTCCGGGATGATATTGCTGTTAAACTAATTTTTTTCTATTTTCCTACGTGCCAGAGAATGAAAATGCATTGTCAGCTTTGACACAGAGCGATGTGAGTGCCGGAAATAATTACAATCTGCCTGAGTGTGGTGGTATGCACACAATTCTCGGGGAGAACGAAAGTGTTCCGGGACGATATTGCTGTTAAACTAATTTTTTTCTATTTTCCCACATGCCAGAGAGTGAAAATGCGTTGTCAGTTTTTGGCACAGAGTGTTGTGACTACCGGAAATAATTACAATCTGTCTGAGTGTGGTGGTATGCATATCCTCTTCGTGGAGAACGAAAGTGTTCCGGGACGATATTGCTGTTAAACTAATTTTTTTCTATTTTCCCACATGCCAGAGAGTGAAAATGCATTGTCAGTTTTTGGCACAGAGCGCTGTAACTGTCGGAAATAATTATAATCTGTCTGAGTGTGGTGGTATCCACACTATTCTCGGGGAGAACTAAAATGTTCCGGGACGATATTGCTGTTAAACTAATTTTTTTCTATTTTCCCACGTGCCAGAGAATGAAAATGCATTGTCAGCTTTGGCACAGAGCGATGTGAGTGCCGGAAATAATTACAATCTGCCTGAGTGTGGTGGTATGCACACAATTCTCGGGGAGAACGAAAGTGTTCCGGGACGATATTGCTGTTAAACTAATTTTTTTCTATTTTCCCACATGCCAGAGAATGAAAATGCGTTGTCAGTTTTTGGCACAGAGTGTTGTGACTACCGGAAATAATTACAATCTGTCTGAGTGTGGTGGTATGCATATCCTCTTCGTGGAGAACGAAAGTGTTCCGGGACGATATTGCTGTTAAACTAATTTTTTTCTATTTTCCCACATGCCAGAGAATGAAAATGCATTGTCAATTTTTGGCACAGAGCGCTGTGGCTGCCGGAAATAATTACAATCTGCCTGAGTGTGGTGGTATGCACACAATTCTCGGGGAGAACGAAAGTGTTCCGGGACGATATTGCTGTTAAACTAATTTTTTTCTATTTTCCCACATGCCA